CAAGGGAGACCGCAACCGGCCTGGCGAGCGGCGAAAGGGTAGTGCGGTCTCGAAAGAAGGAGCGAGAAGCTCCGGAGTCAAGTGTGAAAGTGAGGGAGGACGAGGACGACTCAGTACCTGAGAGCGCAGTCTCACCAGTACCTGAGAGCGCAGACGCACTGGCACCTAGAGCAGCAGCCTCACAAGCACCTAGCGCAGCAGTACCAATGCCCGGGTCGGGCTGAAAACACCGGTAACCCTCATTCTCCTCACTATAATCCACAACATACATAGCAGTAAGGATAGCATCAAAATCAAGATCAAAGATCGCTACACCAGCCCTGAGAAGCTCATCCCAGCGAGGGATCTCACTAGCCCCAGGGAACTGCTGACGCCAAGCGTCCGTCAGGCGGCCAAAGCAGCGCTGGGTGGCGTGGGCACCCCCACACTGCTCACCCGCGCGGTCGCCGGAACGAAGAACGTAGGTGCAGGGACCAGTACCCCCACCCCTCTGACGCCCAGCGTACCACTCACGAAGCTGCTGAGGCGAAGGGATGTCCCGCGAGCGCTGCTGCTGCTGCCGGTGCGAGCGCTGGCCACCACCACCGCCGCTACGCTGCTGGGTACCACCCCGACCAGCTCCACCTCCTCCACCACTACTGCCTCCTCCGCTGCCGCCTCCACTGCCTCCACCTCCGCCGCCTCCACCTCCGCCGCTGCCTCCACCACCACCGCTGGCACCACCACCACCGTCTCCGCCGCTGCTGCCGCCACCACCACCACCACCCCCGCCACTAGCCCCGCCGCCACCCCCACTCCCTCCGCCGCCACCGCCGCCACCGCCACCGCCCCCTCCAGCTCCACCCGCGCCCTTGCCCCCCTTGCCCTTGCTGGAGCGACGTCTCCCACTAGGGGCAGACGCCGCGCCGACCGACTCAAGACCAAGCAGGTCGGCAGCAGCAGCAGAGGCAACAGAGGGCAGCAAGGGGGAAGGAGAGCACCCCTCAAAGATGGGGGTGCGAGGGTCACCACGAGAAGCACCTACAGCGACTATGCTCTTCTCCGCTGCAAGGAGGGCCTTCTCGAGGAGGTCGACGGTGAGAGTGGTGGGACAGACTGCGAGAAAGTGGTCCCTGACGACGCGAAGGGAGTCAGGGAGGCGTGCGACTACGTAGTAGAGAGCGATGTACATGGGGGGGGGGTTCTTAGCGCAGAACTCAGCAGGAAGGGCGGCGCGGTAGCGAGTGTCACTAGTGCGGAGGTGCGTAATGAGGTCAGCGACAGTGGGAAAGGCAGAGAGGTCAGGAAAGAGGTAGGGAAGCATGAGACGGCTCAGTGCAGCAGTGGCAGGGGAGGAGTAGCGCGCAACTACAGCGTCGTACAAGGTCTGAGCACTCTTGTACTGACTAAAGTGCGCACGCTCAGAGGTAGGGAGGTGGCGACGCACAGCAAGACGTGCAGCAGCATCGCGGGTGGCCCACTTAGAGCGGACAGCGGGATCAGCATCAGCAGCAGGGGCAGGAGAGGCGCCAGAGGTGAGGTCAAAGAGAGAAAGGTCGTCAGCCCTGTCGCACTGTAAGAACAGCTGCAGGTCGTCTAACCAGACCTCAAAATCAATGGCGCGACCCTCAGCGTCAAAAGCTAGGACACTAGGGGTAGCCATGGTGACGACAGCGACGCAGTGCAAGCAGTAGGGAAAGAGCTCGCAGTGTCAGTGGGACAGTGCTCACCAGGCAGGGCAGGTCGTGCAGTCAGCAGAAAGGCGGCTCAGCGACCGGGCGGCTCGGGTGCACAGCTGCTCGGCTCCCGGGCGGCTCGGCGGCTGGGCGGCTCGGGCGCAGGGCGGCTCGGCTCCCGGGCGGCTCGGCGGCTGGGCAGCTCGGGTGCAGGGCGGCTCGGCTCCCGGGCGGCTCGGCGGCTGGGCGGCTCGGGTGCAGGGCGGCTCGGCTCCCGGGCGGCTCGGCGGCAGGGCGGCTCGGGTCCCGGGCGGCTCGGCTGCTGGGGCGGCTCGGCCGGGAGATGCAGCGTCGGGCCGGCAGGTGCAGCGTCGGGCCGGCAGGTGCAGCGGCGGGCCGGCAGGTGCAAGTGGCGGGCCGTAAGAGGCGGCGGGCCGATGGGTGCAGCGGCGGGCCGGTAGGTGCAGCGGCGGGCCGGCAGGAGCAGCGGCGGGCCGGCAGGGTGCAGCGGCGGGCCGGCAGGAGCAGCGACGGGCCGGCAGGGTGCAGCGGCGGGCCGTAGAGTGCAGCGGCGGGGCCGTCGGCAGCAGAGGCGGGGCCGCGTCAGAGGAGGCGGCGTGGCCGCGTCAGGGGAGGCGGCGGGGCCGCGTCAATGGAGGCGGCGGGGCCGCGTCAGGGGAGGCGGCGGAGTCGCGTCAGGGGAGGCGGCGGGGCCTCGTCAGGGGAGGCGGCGGGGCCGCGTCAGGGGAGGCGGCGGGGCCGCGTCAAGGGAGGCGGCGGGGCCGCGTCAAGGGAGGCGGCAGGGCCGCGTCAGGGGAGGCGGCGGGGCCGCGTCAGGGGAGGCGGCGAGGCCGCGTCAAGGGAGGCGGCGGGGCCGCGTCAAGGGAGGCGGCGGGGCCGCGTTAAAAGAGGCGGCGGGGCCGCGTCAAGGGAGGCGGCTGGGCCGCGTCAGGGGAGGCGGCAAAGCCGCGTCAGAGGAGGCGGCGGGGCCGCGAGTGAAAAGGCGACCCGAGGGGTCGCTAAAAAAAAAAGGGCGCGCCTCGGGGCGCGCGTCGGTGGGCCCAGACAACGGTCCTAAGGTAGGACCCGCTCTATACCATGTGAAAATAGGAAAACAGGAATGAATGAACTATGAATGAAAGCAGTACAAATATGAAACCCTAACTGGGTTGTACCCCCTATGGGATACCCCACTACAGCCTACACAGCAGTATAAGCTATAGATATGTTCTGACAACATCAGGGCTGCATAATTGGCTGTTTCACAAAAGGCCCAGAGATGTGTGGAAAAGTGTAGTAAAGCTCGTCATCAGCAGTGCCAATATCTTGTGTGCACTATAGTCTGTCGAAATAGCTAGGCAAAAGTTAGAAACATGAAAGAGGGTTTTCACTAGCAGGCAGTTGAGTATATATAGCAAACCCTAACTCGGGCTTTACTCGCTATAGAGCACCCCACTGCAGGCTAGACAAACATCACATTCTGACACATCCCCATAGTCAAAGTGGGGTATAATCAGCACAGCAAGCAGGCAGAGCAGTACCGTATTCTCCCGGATACAAGACCCGGGGGACTTTCCTAGAGTAGAGGCAAAATAACTAGGGTGAACATTTAATCGGCACGAGTTGTAAGAGTCCCGAGTACACTTATTAATCAAGTACACTTATGCGATTTAGGGGTGTACACCCGAATTTGAAGGGAAAGGGGGGGGGGGGATCTTATGTTCGAACCGAAAAAATCTCGCGTGCGCAAAATTCGCGCGGGCGGGCGCGTCAGAAACGTCAGATCTCGTGTCCGACACGATTGGTGTGTCGGAACCCAATTCTGACACAAATGACGCGTCGAATTTCGGTTTTTGTGCCTCTAAAAGCTGACGCGCATATTTATTTTTAACTACTGTATACAGCAAAGGGGGGTCTTAAAATGTTTTGTAGCAAAAGGGGGGTCCTCTCACAGGTGCTACATATTAAGAGTCCCGGTACCGTTCAAAAGTCCCGGGGGTCTTTTTTTCGGGAGGGTCCTATATCCGGGAGAATACGGTAGGTTCACAAATACAAGCAAAGCTAGAGGCAGTCACAGAGGGCTAGTGAGGAGGAGGAGGAACTGTGAGAGGAGTGGAGATAGGAGGCGTCGGGTGAAGCCGCAGACACACGGGCAACAGGAACGGCGCGCACGGTGGCTACCGGAGCACTCATCCTCCGGACTACAGGAGTAACTGGCTCCGCGCTAAGCAACAGCAGGAGCAACAGACCCACGGGCGACTGGCAACAGCAGGCTCGCTAGGCTACCGGAGTAATCAACCCCCGGACTACTGGCGCTGCTGACGTCACAACGGCTACCTCCGGTCAACCTCCCCCAACTGTCCCACACCCCTTTCACACACCCTTTGTTGAACCTGTAGCACCGCTCACACGCCACCCCCCTCGTACCACTCCGACGGCTCCAACACATCCACCCCCCTCAGCGGCAGCTGCAGCACTGGGAGACGGAGGAGGAGGAGGAGCAAGGGACGGCTCACACACCCGGCACCCCCATACTCTCCACCCCCAAACCCTAACACAGGAGCGCGGGCAGCAGCGGGGGTGGGGCGCGGTCAGAAGCTCGGGGGACGGCTTGCGGCACTGGGGCAGACTGTACGGGCCGCGCACGGGCCTGGCGCAGGCCGGACGAACCGCGCGCGGGCTGCCTGGGCCGCGCGTGGGCTGTGCGGGCCGTGCGCGGGCCTGGCGCAGCCCGTACGGGCCGCACGCAGGCCTAGCGCAGGTCGAGCGGGCCGCGTCGGGCGACAGGGGGCGACGCGCGGGTCGACAAGGGCGGGAAACTGCCGCGCGCTAAAAAAAACGCTGCGCGCCCTGAGTGCGCGGCAGGCACGAAACATTGCGCGCCCGTGGTGTGCGATAGGCAGGACAACAGCGGAAGCATCGGATGGGACCACCCACAGGATCGACCCAGGAGGGTCGACCTGCTCTGATAGCATGTCGAAATAGTTAGGCAAAAGTTAGAAACAGGAAAGAGGGTTTTCATTAGCAGGCAGTTGAGTACATATAGCAAACCCTAATTTGGGCTGTACTCGCTATCAAGTACCCCATTGCAGGCTAGACAAACATCACATTCTGACACAGTCTAAGGTATGCCTGGATATAGGTATGCTTTGTATAGTGTATTGGCAAGTCCTTCCAAAACAATGTGCACTACAGGCAACTATGCCTCAAGGAAATTCAGGTAAGGTAACATATAGAGCAGTAAACAATATCACACCGGTTTCTTGGGACTCCACATAACAACTACTGTTTGAGGAACCGCTTATTATGCTGCACCCTACAAATGCATTATCTCCCTTAATTCTTTCATCTGTTAAGCGCAGATTGAACAGTGGAAAGCAGCACAGGCATCAAAGTGGCATTGGTTGCAATGATACCTGTATCTAGATCAAGGAACCTACCACGAGAGAAGTCAAGAGGTTGCCCTGCTGCGTCACAAACTTGCCCTCCAGCCTCTGGAAAAAGGGATTGCAGCAGAGAATTCCAGGTCAGATGGAAACATTGGCAACAGCAGACAGACCAAGCATACAGCATTCCTTGCAGACCGAACACCCTGGCATCCTGACAACCCCCCACCACCACCCCCCCCCCCCCCCCCCAAACCCATCCCATCCCATCCCACCCAACCCCATCCCATGGCACACACCAGAGATGACAAGGCTGCCAGCAGCATGGTCCCAAATCTTCTCCCGATATCCATCCGGCGGGAAGCGCATGTAAATGGCGGCATCGCCACGCGCCATGGCTCCGTACTTAGCCTGCGAGTCAATGCGCACGGGGGGAGCCACCACGCCCAGCGCCTGGTCGTGGGAAGGGAGCAAAGGGAGGGAGCAGGCAGAGAGAGGGGAGACAGCAGTTGGGATGAGAGCGTGCGAAAGAGGAGAGGAGATTTACAGGGCAAAACGAATGGGGAAAAGGGTGGGATCTAGGGTGTATGGGATGGTGGATTGGTGCAGGTGTGAGGTTGTATGGATGATGTTGGCCGTTGGCCAGATGTCAGAGAGGGACAATGATAGTGCTTGGGCACGAGTGTGGGGGATCCACAGCCATGCAGTAGCTCGAATCGAAGCAGCAACCACAGGAGGAAGAGCAAAGAGAAACAAGGCTATGGGGTGGTGGTAGGCATGGATTTGTGCATGGGGTGTGAATGAACATGCGATGGGCATGGGGTGGGGTGGACGTGCAATGGGCAAGGGTGGTGGAATGTTGCATGACGGACAAATGGTCCGGTGCGATAAACGCTGTGTGGTTGCTATATTTGGGGCGCCTAAAAAGCGGACGGACCTGTGCGATGGATGCTGTAAGGTTGTGCTTGGAGTGGCGCGACTCGTACGATTCACAGAACGTGGCCATGGCTGGGTTGCTCTCCGAGCTTACTTGCACCTGCTGCCACACGGGGCTCACATGCACACATGGACGCATGCACGCAAAGCACACATGCACACATGGACGCATGCACGCATGCACGCAAAGCACACATGCACACATGGACGCATGCACGCATGCACGCAAAGCACACATGCACACATGGACGCATGCACGCATGAACACATGCACGCATGGACACATGCACACATGCACGCATGCACACATGCACGCATGCACACATGCACACATGCACACGTGCACGCATGCACACGTGCACGCACGTGCATGCATGCACGCATGCACACATGCACGCATGCACACATGCACGCATGCACGCATGCACACATGCACGCATGCACACATGCATGCATGCACACATGCATGCATGCACACATGCATGCATGCACACATGCACACATGCACACATGCACGCATGCACACATGCAAACATGCACGCATGCACGCATGCACACATGCACACATGGACACATGCAAACATGCACGCATGCACACATGCACACATGCACACATGCACGCATGTACACATGCACACATGCAAACATGCACACATGCACACATGCACGTACACAAGCATCCAGACACATGCATGCAGGCGCGCACCCACACAGACATAAACTGACAGAATGAATCATGCATAAACAGCAAACACCCGCACATGCACAAACATGCACAGACGGGACCAACGCACCTCCCTTTCTCCATCCCTCCCCATCTCAAACCTCCCACCTCCCCACCTCCCCAACCCCCCACGTCCCCACCTCCCCACCCCCCCACCTCCACACCTCCCCTTCGCACCTGTGTGGGCGGCACAGACTCATGCAGCGGCTGCACGGTGGTGCCGCGGCCCTTGACAGCGGAGAACACACACCCCACAGGCTGCCCCGTGGCCACTGCGGCCTCCACCCCGTGCGCTATGGACGCACACGGCAGGTTGGGGCAGCCCAGCACGCCCACCACCACGTCGCCCTGCTCTAACAGCCCGAGTGCTACCGCGTACTGATCCCCCCGCATGAAGCTGTGGGGGAGGTGGGAGGGAGGGCGCGAGGCGAGATGGTGTGGGGGGAATGCAAGGGGCAGGTTGGGGCAGCCCAGCACGCCCACCACCACGTCGCCCTGATCTAGCAGCCCTAGCGTCACTGCGTACTGGCCCCCGCGCATGAAGCTGTGGTGGGGAGGGGGACGGGAAGGGGGAGATGGCAGGGAAGATGGCGTGGTGGTAGGGGGGTAAGGGCGGGAGTGGAATAGGCGAGCACGGCGTATCTTCACCATGCTGCTCTGCACAGCTCGAGCTGCCTTATTGCTGCCACTGCGCATAGGCTAGTGCCCCTGGATGAACCCGTGGGAGAAAGGGGGATGGTGGGGGAGGAGGAGTGGGACGGCAGGGGAGACGGTGCAAGGAAGGCAGGGGTTCAGTGGGAGGTGTGGGGGATGGGGGGGAGAGGGTGGAAGGGGTAGGCTGGAGAAGCAAAGGAGGAGGAGAGGGGACTGGTGGGTGTTTGAGGCGCCTCAAACACGAACGGATCAACATGACTGACTGACTGACTGACTGACTGACTGACTGACCAACCAACAGATTGACCAACCGACTGCCTGACGGACAGACAGACTGATTGACTGACCCGCGCGTGCCATCGATGGGGTCCAGCACCCAGTGCCGCCCGCTGCTCCCTCCCTCCGCGCCGCCCGCGTCAATCAGCGCCACCACCTCCGCCTCACTCAGCGCCGCCGCCGCTGCCCCTGCGCCCCACTTGGTGCTGCTGGCGGCAATGGTGGCGTTCACGAGCGCTGTGATCCGCTGCAGCATGCCCCCCCCCTCTGGCGCCGTCAGCTGCGTGGAGTCCTGGTGTGGTGAGGGGGAGGGCGAGGGGGGGATGAGAGCGAGGGGGAGAGGAGCGGGGGGGGAAGGGGGAGAGGGAGGGCTTTGAGGCGCCTCAAAAGTCTCTGCAGCATGCCCTCCCCTGTCAGCTGCGTGGAGTCCTGGCATGGTGAGGAGAAGTGGGGTAAGGGGGAGAGGGAGGGGGAGGGGGAGGGGGAGGGGAGAGGGAAGCGGAGGGCTCTTGAGGCGCTTTAAAAGTCACTGCAGCATGCCCCCAGCCCCCTGGCGCCGTCAGCTGGATCGAGTCCTGGTGGTGTGGTGAAAAGGGGGGAGAAGGGGAGGAGGGGCGAGCAGGCGCAGGGAAAAGTACGAAGGAGCAGCGATTGTGGATGAAGGAAGAGGGGGCAGCAGAGCAGAAAGGGAGAAACTACTTTTGGTTCGGCCCCTTACCTTACCTTGCACCCTTACCTTTCTCTCTCCATCATCCCCCCAACCCATTCACCATACACTCTCCTCCCATTCCCACACCTCCACCAGTCTCTTCTTCCCAAACCTCCTCTCCTCCACCCCCGCCTTTCCCATCCCCTTCCTTCCCCACTCCTTCCCCCTTATTCCCCGCGCATTCCCCCACCACCATCCCATTCCAGCCTCCATTCCCCCCTCATTCGCCCCGACGCTACTCTACAACCCCCCTTCTTCCCCCCCCCCCCCCTCCCTCCCCTGCCCCCACACCTCTTCCGCCACCATGGAGAAGGCGCCTGGCAGCCCGTGCTGCTGCAGCGCCCACGCCACCAGCACCTGCGAACCTGGCGGCAGAGGGCGGGCAGGGGGCGGGCAGGGGGCGGGCAGGGGGGGGGCAGGGGGGAGGCAGGGGGGGGGCAGGGGGGAGGCAGGGGAGGGGCAGGGGGGAGGCAGGGGGGAGGCAGGGGGGAGGCAGGGGGGAGGCAGGGGGGAGGCAGGGGGGAGGCAGGGGGGAGGCAGGGGGGAGGCAGGGGGGAGGCAGGGATCCAGCAGAAAGGCCGAGGGAGGATGGCAGGAGGCAGTGGAGGGATGGAGGGCAGGGGCGACGGGAAGGGGGAGGCAAAGGGGAAACGGGGACAGGAGAGGGGAGGGCGGAGGGCAGGGGCGACGGGAAGGGGGAGGCAAAGGGGAAACGGGGACAGGAGAGGGGAGGGCGGAGGGCAGGGGGGGGAACGGGGAGGGACAGGGGAGGGGAGGGGAGAGGGCAGGGGGGGGATGGAGACAGGGGAGGGGGGAGGAAGGTGGAGAGGTTTAGGGGGGAAACGACGGGCGGAAGAGGAGAGACGGAGAGACGTGGGTTTGTACATGCATTGGGCTGGGCGGGCAGGCAGGGGGGCGCACGGAGAGATTGGTGGTAGGTGGAAGATGATGTTTCAAGGGATGGGAGGGCATGGGATGCGATGGGGGGGAAGGGAAAGGTTAATGTTGCTTTAATGCATTCAAGTGAGAGGTGAGCGAGCGAGCAAGCAAGTGAGTGAGTGAGTGAGTGAACACTTTGGTGAAACGGGAAAAGAGCGCATCCCCGCACCCCCCACGCCCCATTCCGCACCCCCCACGCCCCATTCCCCACGCCCCATTCCGCACCCCCCACGCCCCATTCCCGCACAGCCCACGGGCCACGGGTGAGCGCACCATAATCAGCGATGGTAACGGGCGACTCGTCGGACTTGCTGGCTGACTCCTCCGCCTTTAGCCCGCGCTGCACCGTCTGCGGAGGGCGGATGGGGAATGGGGTGGACGGGGACGGGGAGCAGGGGCGGAAGGGGGGGAGGGGATAGAGAGAGGGGAGGAGAGAGGGAGGGAGGGATGGAGGCGCGGAGGGAGGGAGGAGTGGGGGAAGGGAGGGGCAAAAACAAACAGGTGGGTTTGCAAAGGAGCAGCGAATGGGGTGTGCTGTTTCGGTCGTCGTGGCGCCATGGTGAAAGAGAGCACATGCTGGGGGGAGAGAGGAGAGAGTGGGTGCCCGTCTCCCCCCTTTTCCCCATCCGGGGAAATGAGAAGATAAGGGGGAACGGGGTTGGGAAAATGTGTGAGAATGCAGGAATGAGGAAGAAGGGAGACGGCCAGTGGTGGAGAGGGGACGGGCAAGAAGACGCCTTTCGCGCCGCTGCTGGCAGAGCAGCAGCAGCAACGGTCGACCAAACCGACTCATGCAAAGCGCGCCGTTTGTTACTACCCCACGCATCGCCATCGCCATCGCCGTCGCCATCGACGCTGCGCGGCGCATGCAAACCCACCTCGCACAGCGCGCACGCGAGCCGAACGGCGCTCTCCGCCGCCGCCAGCTCATCCGCGTACGCCGCCGCGCTGCCGTTCCCGGCCGCCGCGCTCCCCGACGCCATGACGGTAGTGCGCCGACCGCCCGCGCCGCTGTTCCGCTCCGCGCGCTGGCCGTCACTCAGCCGCAGCGGCGGGTTCGCGGAAGAGCCGCGCGGGAACGAAAAGCTGTGGAGGAAGCCGCCGGGGAAGGCACGGGGGGATGCGGCAGCAGAGGCAGCGGCGGTAGCGGCGACGGCCCGGGGGAGAGGTGCGAGAGCGCGCATGGCGCGACTGCGGAGAGGCGGGAGACGGCGGTGCACGCTGAGGAGGATGAGTCCAGCGGAATGGCGCCCGTTGGATTGGAAGTGGCAAGATTGGGGAGCGGAGGGAGAGGGGCAGAGTTGAAGGCCGAGGTTTTTGTACGCGATTTTGTTGACTTGCTTGGGATTTTTGGAAACGAGTTCTATACACTCAACGGCTCAAATTCAGTACTTGTGTCTCTGCACCTTTTCCCCTGAAAACCCCGTTGCAAAACCCATCCCATCCCCATCCCAACCAACCAGCTCCTGTTAGGAATCATCGAAGGAACCACACAGCCTCGCTCGAGAACTGAGTTTACCTTGGTAGCATAGGCATCCTTGTTAGCACTCTCATTGGCCGGCATCGGCATTTCTATCCGCGCGTCCGCGCCGCCATTCCGCTCAGCGGCTTTCCGCGCTAGAAGCGCTCTCCCGCTTCCGCGCGCGCCATGGCGACCCTTTCGAGTCTCTTCGACAACAATCCCTTCCGCCGCGCCGCCATACCCTCCGCGCCCTCCCCAGGCCCTGGCTCTGCAGCTGCGCCCGCCGGGAAAACCCCCCCACCTTCCGTGCGCACAGGGCCATCCCCTTCCGCCAAGCTGGGGGCTGCGCTAGCGGAAGCCGCTGCGTTCCGGAATCCCGCGGGGAAAGGGGAGGGGAAAGCGGAAGAAAGAGAGAAGAGCGGAAAGAAGACGAAGAAGCGCAAAGGGAGCGAGACGGAGGGCGGCGGGGGAGTGAGTGGAGGGGGCGATGGGGAAGGGGAAGCGGAAGGGGCGCAAGGGGCCAAGGGGGAGGGTGCAGAGTTGGCGGACGTTACAGCGGCGAAAGGGGCACAGGTGGATGTGGGGAAGAAGAAGAAGAAGAAGAGAAGGAAGGGGGAGGAGGGTGAGAAGCAAAAGAAGGTGAATAAGGCCGTTGCTGAACCTGAAAATGAGGGGTCTAGAGAGGCGCAGACTAGTTTGGAAAGAGAAGCTGTTACAGAAGAAGGCTGCCAGAACAACGACAAAAAGAAGAAGAAGAAGACAAAGAAGGAGAAGAAAGGGAGGGGCAAAGACAGCGCGCCAAAGGTTCAGGGTTCTGGGCTTAAGACGCATTCTGAGAGCGAGGGGAGGGAGAAGGACGGTGGAGATGAGGGATCGGAAGACGCGGAAGAGGGTGAGAATGAGGAGGTGGAGGGGGAGGAGAAAGAGATGGAGGTTATGGAGTTAGGGAGCGAGGACGAAGGTGCGGCGAATGATGGGGAGGAGGATGCAGATGCTCATAGCGACAGCAGCTCGAGTGAGGAAGAGGAGGATAAAGACGAGTTAGAGGGAGATTTAGTCGGATGGGGCGAGGAGGAAGACGAGGAGGAAGACGAGGAAGAAGAAGAGGGGGAGGAAGCGGAGGAGAAGGAGGATGGGCAAGGGGCAGGAGTGGCAGGAGCGGCGGGGGAGAGCGTGGGCAAGGGCACGGCGAAGACAATAGCAGCGAGCGCGGCGGAGGCGGCGACGGCGGAGCGGGCGCTGACCGGGGCGGAGAGGCGCGCGCAGAAGCGCGCGGAGAAGCAGCAGGCGCGCGAGGAGCGCGCGGAGAAGCTACAGCGCACGGTGTTCGTGGGGAACCTGCCCGTGGGCGTGGGGCGCAAGGCCCTCGCGCGCCTCTTCACGCCCTTCGGCCCTGTCGAGTCTGTGCGCCTGCGCTCCATGCCCCTCGCCGACGACGTGAGTCGGCCTCTGGTTCTTCAAGCTTTCTTTCCTCCAGCCTTGTTTCTTCAGGCCCTCGCCGTTATCGCCCTGTGACCTCATGCCTTCATGTCTTCGACACTGCCTCTCCCTCTCCCTCTCCCTCTCTCTCTCCCTCTTCCTCCCTCTCTCCCTGTTCCTCCCTCTCTCCCTCCGCCCCTCTCCCTCGTCCACTGTCAGATCAAGAAGATGCCGCGTCGGTCTGCGGTGCTCAAGAACAAAATCTCCGCCACCCACAAGAGGTGCGCTAGGCGGTTGAGAAGAGAGGGGTGGAAGGGGGGGGGGAAGGGTCAGTGGGCGGGAAGATTTGACTGGGTGCGATGCATGCGCACAAGTCCTAAGGTGCAAGGATTGGTGCTTTGCTTGTCAACCCAAAACGCTTGAAAGCTCATTCCTTCCTCTCCCATTCGTCTCTTCTCCCGTTCTCTCTGTGCAGTGCTGCGCACTTAATCCCTCATTCTCCTCCCTCTTCCACTGCACCCTTCCCTCTCGGCTCCCTCCGCGTCCCTTTCCCCCATCCTCCCCCAACCCCCCCCCTCATCCCTTCAAACTCTAAACTTCTGCTTCAATCCTCCCCTCTCCCCCTCCTTTAACTTCCCCGTTCCCTCTCCTCCCTGCATGCAGCTGCAATGCATACGTGGTGTTTAAGAGGCAAGACTCGGTCACACCATCACTCACTCTCAACATGACCCTGGTACCTCCCTGTCCTTTCTCCCCCCCCATGCCATGCCATCCCATGCCATGCCTGTATTTTGAGGCGCCTCAAAATGCACCATCACTCGCTCTCAACATGACCCTGGTACCCCTCCCTGTCCTTTCTCCCCCCCCATGCCATGCCATGCCATGCCATGCCATGCCATACCGTGCCATGCCTGTCTTCCACGTTTCTTTGCCATGCCTGTCCCTGGACCATCATCCGTGCACCCATTATCCGGCGACGAAACTCTGGCATCCTCGTAACTTGTTCCTATGTTTTTTCCCCTCCCCTTTGTACTATCAACTTGTATGGCAGTTTGAGGGGAGGCATATTCGCGTGGACCGTGCTGCTGCTCCCGCACCCCCCAAGTCCGCCTCTGCAGCAGCCGCGGCAGCAGCAGCAGCGGAGGAAGCAGCAGTGCCAGCAGCAGCAGCCAAGTACGACCCGTGGCGGTCGCTGTTCCTGGGGAACCTGCCCCATGACGTTGATGTGAGTCGGGGCCTGCTTGCTGCACACCCACTCATGGAGCACGGTGCACATGACTCACTGGCACTGCATGATGCATGCTGCACTCCCAGAGTTCCACTCCCCATAGCTCCACTCCCCATAGCTCCACTCCCCATAGTTCCCAGCCCCGTTGTCCCTTACACTTCATTGTTCACGCCCATTACCTGCCTCGTAATCAACCACACCCCTCATCCTGCCTTCACCAAACCCTTGGCCCCTCTGACTCCCCTGGTGTCTCCTCCCCGCACCACAGGAAGAGGAGGTGCTATTGCTGTTCTCAGCAGGTTTTTGAGAATTCTTAAAAACCAACTCCCCTGGTGTCTCCTCCCCACCCCACAGGAAGAGGAGGTGCTATCGCTGTTCTCAGCACCCCTAGCAGCAGCAGCAGCCCGCTCCTCAGCACCCGCAGTGACAGCAGGGGATGTGGAGGGGGTGCGCGTGGTGAGGGATCGCCACACCAACCAGGGCAAGGGCATTGCCTTTGTGCTCTTCAAGACACGGGTACTGCTGTCACACAAGATAAGAGCACTCGCTCTTGCCGCCCAACTGCCTTCACTTGTGCCGCCCAGCTGCCCTGTTCTCACACTTGCTTCTGCACTCCTGTTGTGCACAACTGCTCGTGCCGCTGATAGAAGTTAATTGCTATGGGCTAGAAACCTCTGCCATCTCACAGCCTCAGCAAGTCGTTTCAAAGCATTCACACACTGCTTACAACTGCTCTTTTCGCGCTCAGTCAGACTGACAGCCCTTCGCTTTCTGCCTGCTGCCTGCTGCCTGCTGCCTGCCCTCTGCTCTCTCATTCTGCCGTGTCGCAACCCTTTTCCAACTTTCCCCCACCCCTCTCCTCCACAGGAGGCAGCGAGGACAGCACTGTCGCAGCGGCGCAAGGGAGCAGAGGTGCGGGGGCGAGCAGTGAGAGTGATGCCTCTGTCGCTCAAGGCACAGGAGCAGACCCGTGCTAAAGCCCAGATGCAGGCGGAGAAACGCGGGAGGAAGGCTGGTAAACCGGGGGCGGTGGGAGGGGGAGATGGGGGAGGGAGAGGAGGTGGATGGGGGATGGGACGGGGTGGCGGGTTTGCGGGTGCTGGTCGGGGGGGAGGGAGAGGAGGAGGGAGGGGGGGGGGAGGCGGGGAGGGTGGTGAGGGAGGGCAGGGAGGGGGAGGATCGTACCAGGGGGCAAAGGCGAGCAAGATGGGGAAGGGAGGAGGGAGAGGAGGGGGGAGAGGAGGGAGGGGAGGAGGGAAGGGCACTAGGGCTGGGACTCAAGTGCAGAAGCTTGCAGAGATGATGCCGAGAGGGAAGGCGCTGAGCAAGAGAGGAGGGGCAGCGGCGGCAGGGAGGGGGAGGGGAGGGAAGGCGCCAGGGAGAGGCAGGAGATAGTTTTTTTGGAAGCTTTGAGAGGCCGAGGGAGTGTAGGGTTTCCGGGTTGTATTGTGAGCGAGCGACGATTTGCTTGCTCAACTCGATGCTCGATCAATACGACAGGCACATGCTGGTGCCTGGCCTGGTTGCGGCAATTTGCAGCGTTTCCGTACTCAACCAGGCCAGTTATTTCTGAGGGTATGCTGTAACTTGGTATCAGCTACGGTATGAGGATTTGGTGAGAGCCATAGATACGGTGTAGTAGAGATGGAGCAACATGATTTAGAATGCTTTTAGGAAACAAGGCAACAATAACCACACAAATAAGGCCACACGTAGCAATACCACGGTATGTCCCAGTCTTCAATCCAACCCAATGTACAACACAAATGTAACTTTGTACTGGCATGAGAACACACTAAAAAGGAACCATCAATCGGTGATAAATACAGAGATGAACAGAAGCAGAAGGGGGAGAAAGTTGGGTAGAAGGCAGCTGGGTTGAGAGAGACGAGCAGACACAGCCTTGGTGGTGGTGGTGGTGGTGGTTGGAGCAGGTGAATTGAACGGCCCAGTCGCTGCAGGAGAGATGCAGGTGGGGATGTGGAGTGGGGATACGCAGGGACACGGGGGAAGATGTGGGGGGAGATGCAGGTTGGGAGGGGGGTTGGTGAAGGGGAAGGGTGGGCTAGAGAGTATTGTGGCAGGCAAGGCAGAAGCAGCATGGATGGCAGGCACGATGCAGGGTGAGAGGAGATCGGAGAAGAGGAGAGGGGGAGGGGGGCGGGGGAGGGAGGAGAGGGAGGGGTGGTGCCGATGGGGAGAGGGTATGGTGCAAGGGAGAGAGGGAGGGGAGGTGTTGGCAACTGCATCGCAATATGCAGCAGTCAAGATGAGCTGAGTGCCATCACACATCCACCTGTCTTCTCACCACCATGGCTACTTCAATCCAATTAAGGAGCCACATGTTGTGTTCATCCGTGCCAGTAGCAGGCGAGGCCTTTTGCTCTTGCACTGCTGAGAACTCTCAACTCAAGGTTGTTCGCAAAAAGAACAGCAGCGGCGGCGGCGGCGGCGACGGCAGCGGCGGCAGAAGCAGGGAAAGGTGAAAGTCCTGATTCGTTGGCACAGGAATTGTCTGACGAAGTGAGAGAGAAGAAGCGTACCTGATTCATTGGTGCAGGAAGGTGACTTTTGAGTGAAGAAGCGAACTCAATAGTCACCTCGTTGCAATGGCACACGACACAGAGTGAAGAAGCGTACCTGATTCATTGGTGCAGGAAGCGCAGAAGCCACTGCAGGAAGCACAGAAGCGAGAGATGGACACCTGTGGCACCTCACACGGCCCCCCTGCCACACACTGCACCCTGTCCCTGTCAAACCAGCTGGGGGAAAGGCCAGGGAGAAAGGGATGTGCGGGAGAAGGGGATACGGGGAGAGAGTGGGAGAGACGGGAGAAGATGAGAGGGAAGGGTGGGAGATGGGTAGAGGGAGAGGAGAGTGAGAAAAGGGAGAAGGAGAGAGGGGAAGAGAATGGAGCATGGGGGAAGCGGGAATATCGTGCCTAAGAAATGGGATGTGCTGGACAGAGGATGTGGGTACATGGGATTTTGGGACATGAGATGTTGGGGACATGAGATGTTGGGGACATGAGATGTTGGGGACATGAGATGTTGGGGACATGAGATGTTGGGGACATGAGATGTTGGGGACATGAGATGTTGGGGACATGAGATGTTGGGGACATGGGATGTTGGGGACATGGGATGTGGGGACCTGGGATATGAGGGACAAGGTATGCTCAGACATGGGAGATGGGGGCATGGGATGTGAGGGAGAAGCGCAGAGGCGTACAGGCGAGTGAGGTTGGTGAGCTGGCCTAGGGTGGCGGGTAGAGTCCCCGCGAACTTGTTGTGAACCAGGTTGCTGCCATGACCACAGCAGCCATTGTGTCGAGGAAGGGGGGGAGGATTGGATGGTATGGAAAGGGGTGCGGTGGGGTGGGATGGGGTGGGATGGGATGGATGAGTTGGAATGGGACCGAAGCGGCATTGGAGGGCGAGAACATTGCACGAGAAGCAAGGATAGGAGGGAAAGGGGGAGCAGCCGCAGCAGCATCCGTGTCGCGACTATGGTCATGGGATGCTGAACTGCCACCTTGGACAATGCAGGAATTCACCAAATCAGGACACTGAAGCGCACACACACACACGCACGCACGCACGCACACACACATACACACACACGCACGCACGCACGCACACACACATGCACACACACACACACACGCACGTACGCACACACACATACACACACACACACGCACGCACGCACACACACATACAGACACACACACACACGCACGCACACACACACACACACACACACACACGCACACGAACGCACGCACATACACACACACACACGCACACACGGCTGCACTGCAGTTGCACCGCTAGCGCCTATGGCTCCAATGGCCAAGACTATTGCCCAGAAGCTCATCCCATCCGCTCTCAACCATCCCCAACCGTCCCTGTCCCCCCACATCCATCCCATCCATCCCATGTGCGTCTCTCTCACAGGCTGTCAAGGGCTGACAGGTGCCCCAGCGATGGAGGTATGCTGCCAGTCAGCTGGTTGTTGCCCAGGTTGCTGTGCAGATGGGAATGGTGTGGGAGGAGGGGGAGAGAGAAAGAAAACAAAAAACCAGAATGCACAGGTGCACTTTTTTTGGAATTCTCAAGGTCATTCTTTAGGATTCCCCGAGGAAGAAAATAAAGGATTTGCACCGATGCATTCACGAGCCTTTGCACATGGGGCATGGCCGCACGCACGCACGCACACACGCACACAGCAGGCTCAGGACGCTCCCTTTCTTCACTCGCCCAGGGCACAGTTGAAGCAGGGCGAATGCTTTCTGGCCCTCGAGAGCAGCGAAGGGTCACTCACAGTTGGAGCAGGTTGGAGAGCAGACCCAGGGAGTGGGGAACAGGGCCTAACAGAGGTGACTTTTGAGTCGACTAAAAAAAAAAAAACATAAGGCCCTTGTGAGAAGCCGAGGCTCGCTCACAGTTGGAGCAGGTTGGAGAGCAGACCCAGGGAGTCGGGAACAGGGCCTGACAGACGGTTGTTGCCGAGGTCTCTGCGTTGGGACACAAGGGGGTGGGATGGGATGGGAAGGGATGGGATGGAATGGGATGGAATTGACCTGGAAAAGGGATGGTTCATTGGGTGGGCACAAGAACAATAAGGGCGGAAGAAAGAGGAGATGGTAAAGGAAGAAAGGGGATGGAACAGGAGGTGGAAGCAACAGGAGGTGGAAGCAACAGGAGGTGGAAGAAACAGGAGGTGGAAGCAGCAGGAGGTGGAAGCAGCGTACAGCCAGGTGAGAGCAGTGAGGGCGCTGAGTTCGTCTGGGATGGAGCCTGAGAGCTTGTTCATGCCCAGCCATCTGCCCGGTGTCCATAAAGGGAGGAGGGGAGGGGAGGGGCATGTCACATGCACGCAGCAGGGCAAGGCGGGAGGTGCAGTGCATCGGGCGGGTAGGCACTGGAGGGGTTATGAGCAGGGCGGGAGGATGGGGAAGGAGGAGCAAGAAAGCATGTGGTTATGAGCAGATGGTGATCGGGGGTGTGGCATGCGGAGAGCCTTGCAAGGGCATGTGGAGAGCCTTGCACGGGCATGTGCTGGTGAGGCAGCGGCAGCTGCAGCAGGAGGATCTGGAGCAGCAGAAGCGGGAGCAGGAGCCGAAGCAGCAGCAGAAACAAGAGTAGAAGCGGCGGCAGCAGGGGGTGATGAATACGCACAGCTGCTGAAGGTTGGTGAGCGCACTGATGGTGTAGGGGATAGTGCCGCTCAGATCGTTGAACCATAGCAGGCTGGGATGGGGAGGAGGAGGGAGGTTGGAAGGGGAAAGGGGGGGGACGGAGGACAGGGAGATCAAGGGGGGAAGGGGAAAGGGGGGGAAAAGGGGGTTGGTTAAAGTGAGAATGGGATGAGAAGCCGGGTAAGGGGTGCGGAAGCAGGGAGGGAGAAAGGGTGTAGTTTTCACGTGGTGAAACCAGGCTGGTAAACGACAATGCAATAACTGTGGCGGAAAGGGGGGAGAGGGAGGGAGGAAAGCAAGGAGACAAGGAGGGAGGGAGGGAGGGAGGGAGGGAGGGAGGGAGGGAGGGAGGGAGGGAAAGAGGGAGGGAGGGAGGGAGGGAGGGAGGGAGGGAGGGAAAGAGGGAGGGAGGGAGGGAGGGAGGGAGGGAGGGAGGGAGGGAGGGAGGGAGGGAGGGAGGGAGGGAGGGAGGGAGGGAGGGAGGGAGGAGGAAGGGAGGGAGGGAGGGAGGGAGGAAGGGAGGGAGGGAGGAAGGGAGGGAGGGAGGAGTGAGTGAATAGGAAGGAAGGGAGGCAGGGAGCAAGGGAGGAGCGGAGGGAGGGGTAAAGGCAGAGGGGAAGGGAGGGAGAGGGATGGCGGGAGGTGCGTGGGATAGGGTTGACAAGGGTGCGGTGGCAGGCAGAGGCATGAGGGCTCACAGGTGTGTGAGTGATGTGAGCTGGCCAATGGTATCAGGTATAGTCCCATTCAACCTTGCTCCGTAGAAGTCTCTGCCATCCACACACTCCGACCACACCGCACCGCACCGCACCACACAACATCACACCACTCCACACCACACCACACCACATCATCAGTCGCATCCCATCACCAAAGAACAAAGGAAAGATCAGAAATCATGTGCGCCTGGCTCCATCTATGCAACCAGAAACATCGTCAGGTAAGCAACCACATGCAACAGAAGACAATCAACAGCAAGGCAGCATGGCAGTATGCATATCCTATACGGGCGGCATGCTAGCCTGGGGTCTACAATCAGAGGAGAAAAGAAGATTATGGGAAGAGGAGAGCGGTGCAGCAGTGTGTACAAGAAGTGCGAGAGGTGAGGCGCGTACAGGTAGGAGAGGTCCGTAGAGGTAGGAGAGGTCCGTAGAGGTAGGAGAGGTCCGTAGAGGTAGGAGAGGTCCGTAGAGGTAGGAGAGGTCCGTAGAGGTAGGAGAGGTCCGTAGAGGTAGGAGAGGTCCGTAGAGGTAGGAGAGGTCCGTAGAGGTAGGAGAGGTCCGTACAGGTAGGAGAGGTCCGTACAGGTAGGAGAGGTCCGTACAGGTAGGAGAGGTCCGTACAGGTAGGAGAGGTCCGTAGAGGTAGGAGAGGTCCGTAGAGGTAGGAGAGGTCCGTAGAGGTAGGAGAGGTCCGTAGAGGTAGGAGAGGTCCGTAGAGGTAGGAGAGGTCCGTACAGGTAGGAGAGGTCCGTAGAGGTAGGAGAGGTCCGTAGAGGTAGGAGAGGTCCGTAGAGGTAGGAGAGGTCCGTAGAGGTAGGAGAGGTCCGTAGAGGTAGGAGAGGTCCGTAGAGGTAGGAGAGGTCCGTACAGGTAGGAGAGGTCCGTACAGGTAGGAGAGGTCCGTACAGGTAGGAGAGGTCCGTACAGGTAGGAGAGGTCCGTACAGGTAGGAGAGGTCCGTACAGGTAGGAGAGGTCCGTACAGGTAGGAGAGGTCCGTACAGGTAGGAGAGGTCCGTACAGGTAGGAGAGGTCCGTACAGGTAGGAGAGGTCCGTACAGGTAAGAGAGGTCCGTACAGGTAGGAGAGGTCCGTAGAGGTAGGAGAGGTCCGTACAGGTAGGAGAGGTCCTTACAGGTAGGAGAGGGAAACGAGGTTGCCTATGGAGGCAGGCAGAGAGCCCTGCAGCATGTAGCCTTGAGGCGCCCTGTGTGTGTGGCATAACATGGCACATGGTGCATGAGACATGAGGCATGACGCACGAGACGTGACGAATGGCACATGGTACATGACATACGGCACATGGCACTTGGCTCATGCCTCGACAAATTGCACATGATGCATGGTACTGACACGGTGCATGCATGTGTGCGGGATGCGGGGAGCGCATGAGACAGTGGGAAGAGCAGGGGAAGAGTGGTAGAGGAGGAAGGGAGGGAAGAAAGGAGAGAGGGAGGGACGGGCCGAGGTTGAGGAAGGGAGGCAGGGAGCGAGTGAATGCACAAGGCAGGTATTGAAAGTGGGAGTGGTTGCGTCAGGTGGAGTTGAGTGGCGTGGAGTGGTGTGAGGTGCTGAGGAGTGCTGTGCATTGGTGTTGCGTGCTGTGGAGCGGTGTGGGTGGGTGGAGTGCGGCGCCTGACAGGGTGACACACATTCTGGTGATCATGCCTTGCTCGTTGCACTGAATGGCCTCCGCCTTGCTGCAATCCCCGCCGTTGCTCCACTGGCTCAACCGCACCTTCCACTCCGACTGACACTCTTCCAGCACCGCCGCTGGAGGAGTGTCATCGCATCATCGCATCACACACACGCGTTGCGTTGCGCATTAGTCCAATGTGCCATGTGCGATGTGCCATGTGTAATGTGCCATGTGTAATGTGCCATGTGCCATGTGTCATGTGTCATGTGTAATGTGCCAAGTGTAGTGTGCCATGTGTGATGTGCCATGTGTAACGTGCCATGTGTAATTTGCCATATGTGATGTGCCATGTGTGATGTGCCATGTGTGATTTGCCATGTGTAATGTGCCATGTGCCATGCACAATGCACCATGTGCCATGTGTGATTTGCCATGTGTAATGTGCCATGTGCCATGCACAATGCACCATGTGCCATGTGTAATTTGCCGTGTGTGATGTGCCATGTATGATATGCCATGTATGATGTGCCATGTGTGATGTGCCATGTGTAATGTGCCATGTGCCATGCGCAATGCACCATGTGCCATGTGTAATGTGCCATGTGTAATTTGCAATGTGTGATGTGCCATGTGTGATGTGCCATGTGTGATGTGCCATGTGTGATGTGCCATGTGTGATGTGCCATTAGTAATGTGCCATGTGCCATGCGCAAAGCACCATGTGCCATGTGTCATTTGCCATTCGCCGTGTGCCATTGCGCGCATGCATGTGCGCGCGCAGCCAGTGGTGGGGATTCCAGGTGGAACGGGGGGGAAAGTGCAAAAGGGTGGAATTCAGAGAGGAAAGGCGGGGAGAGGAGGTATAAACGAATGACCGAGCGGTGGCTTGGGGAAGCGCGCAGGCGACTTTTGAGTCCACCCAAAAGTCACCTGGATAAACGAATGAACGAGCGGTGGCCTGGGGGAGAGCGCATATGGGTGCTGGGCGCAATGCAGGGGCGAGGGTCAGCTAGTCAGGCAGAAACTATCACCGTTGACATGTACAGAGGCGTGGCTTTCCTCAGGTTTGCGAAACGCAAGCCGCGTTGCGCACCCTCGCGAATTACCAGGCATCACCTGGAAGGAACCCCACCTTGTGACGGGTCGAGAAGCTGCGACTGCGCGCGATGCACGTGAGGAGACACCAAGGTCACCAGCAGCAACCATGGCACCCACCGTCGCGGGCTGAGGTCCATTTGGCGGCACGGGGAATAGCTCGGTTGCCTGTGTGTGTGTGGACGGCTCACGACTACTAGCATGTGAACTCGTATGGGAAGATACCAAAGCTCGCCTAGAACCAAGAGGTACTTATGGTTGGTCCATGTTATCCACAGTTCATGACCTCACTAGATGCGAGCGTGTGACACTAAGGGGATCCTTTGTGTGATACATCTATAACAAGGTTGGAAGTAGGAGCCTTTCTATATTTGTAAAATTATGCACGATGCCATACATTTATTTTTATCGGATTGCAAAACGAATAAGAACACTCCGATGGGTATATTTCCTTAGGGTACATTCCTGCTTGGGCATTTGTGTCACCGTGCCTTTTTTCTCAAGTCGCATTCAAAGGTATAATTAACATCGAGTCACGATCTAAAAATGTATCGCGACACCATGCGATCTGGCGAAATGTACAGTTGTACGTGTAGGATTCGATGGCATATTGAACTTTATTTCAGTTTCATCACGCCTCGGAAAGTCACACCAAACAAATCCGTGGCAATATGGGGTTTTGTTTCGGCGGGAAGTGTTTGGGTGATGGGGACGGTGTATAACCTTACGGTTTTCAGCATGTTCATGTCTGCATGGCGACCATTAGCCTGCCATACTCGTCGGGAACAAGCGCAAGAGGATTGGGCTGTGTTGTGGAGAACTGAAGCTTAAACAACCGAAGAACGTGCTGCAGCATGTGTGACTGGGTCAGAGTAATGGTGTGCCCTGCTTTGTTTCCGGTGATATGCAAGCCAGAATAGCTAAGAGTTATACGTAGGTTAGTGCAGGTGTGTGTGTTTTGCAGTTATGACTTCACTAAAGCCAGAGCGACGCTCTATGCAGTAGCGAATACCAAGTCGTCCATGTAGTGTTGGAATGGGCCCAAAACGAACTGTGATGGGGTCGATTGAAGAAGGGCGGAACTCGAAAGAAGCCAAGTGGTACATGTGATGTCGTGCCACTCACGAGGTGCCTGGTGCAGTCCGTAGAATGGTTGTCGCAGGCTCCACTAGCTCTTATGTGGGAATGTGACAGCGAAGCTTGGATGACGCCAAAGCCATATCTCCTTATGCAGGCTGCCCTGGAGGAAGGAAGTAGAAAAGCCTAGCGAGTGCAACTCGTCATCTCGTTATGCTACAGCGTCTAACAATACCCGAAGAGTTGTCATGTTCAAAGTGGATGTGAAGGTATGATAATGGTACACTCCATCATGCTGACTAAAGCCTCTCGCCACGTAATGCATCTCGAAGGCAGGAAGAGATCCAGGTGGCTGCTTCACCTTGTGGGGAACTCGTGTCAGAGGTCCACTGGTGATCCCCGATCGATCCTAGGGAAGGGTTACAGGCACGTTTGCCTGGGGGGTTATGGGCGCACTGACCCGCTACTGAAACAAGCCCTTTTATCCCAATGGTCTAGTGGTTGGGATTCTGAGATGGTATCAGAGCGAAGGTCTCGGGTTCGAATCCTGGTGTATGCACTTCGAGCATCCCAGTGCGGGGGGGTGTCAGAGGTCCACTGGTGATCCCCGATCGATCCTAGGGAAGGGTTACAGGCACGTTTGCCTGGGGGGTTATGGGCGCACTGACCCGCTACTGAAACAAGCCCTTTCATCCCAATGGTCTAGTGGTTGGGATTCTGAGATGGTATCAGAGCGAAGGTCTCGGGTTCGAATCCTGGTGTATGCACTTCGGGCATCCCAGTGCGGGGGGGTGTCAGAGGTCCACTGGTGATCCCCGATCGATCCTAGGGAAGGGTTACAGGCACGTTTGCCTGGGGGGTTATGGGCGCACTGACCCGCTACTGAAACAAGCCCTTTTATCCCAATGGTCTAGTGGTTGGGATTCTGAGAACTCGTTGGCGTACGCGCCTATGCATTGTCAATACGGCATCCCTAAATCCATGGCTTCTATTCATTGAGAGGCCCACTATTTCGATTCAGTGTAAGTGTGAAAATTCAGGATATCTGGGGCGCCACGGTCTCTCTCATGGGCTAGCACAGATGGGGAGTAACGGCCACATGGATCTCAAGCTCAAACTACCGGTCCGCAAGGACGTCATAGCCGACGGAATACTCAACCTCGGCGGGCAGAGGACGGGAAGGAGGACCAGACACCGACCGGGTGGTGTAGTCAAGGCGGCGGGTGGAGGAAAAGTTAGAGACAGCGGCGACAAGAGCCGATAAAGACGAGGGAGAGGCAGTAGGGTGTAAGTCACGAGAGAGGAAGGACATGCGGGAAAACAGGACAAGCAATACGGACGTAGTCAGGGAGAGGGTGTGAAGCAATATTGGGAGATGAGGCTAGAAGTAACAGAAGAGGAGAAGGAGGCAGGGCACGACCGAGAAGAGTACGAAAAAAAAGGGAGTGGAGGTTAAGAACAGGAGACGAGTAACGAGGCCTTGAGGAGCAACGAATAGTTTAGGAGGATGAAAGATGAGATGGAGGAGGCAATGGAGGAGACTGTCATGATCAAGAAGGTTAACGAACAAGAGACGCATCTGGAGGAGAAAACGAGGGACCATACTCTGGCGAAGGCGGAAAGCGGCGTGGTAAAGGAGGAAGACCAGGGAGACAAAGGTCGCTCACATGTGGCGACGAACCCAGTTGCCGCAGAAGTTGGAACCTCGTTACGTAACATGGGACAAACGTGACAGGCGCTGTAGTTGCAGCACCCCCAGAATCAGGACCGTCAGCTTTAGCACCTCCAGCTTTAGCACCTCCAGCTCCAGCACCTCCAACTCCATCACCCGAAGAACCAGTACCTCCAGCTCGAGCAACTCTAGAACCAACACCTCCACCTCCAGCACCCACAAAATAAGCACCTCCAGTGACAGTACCTCCACTGTCAGCATCTCCGGTACTAGCACTTCCAACTATAACACCCCCAGAATACTGCCAGCACCATCTCCTCCACAACCAGCACCTCCAGTGTCAGCACCCCTATAGTGTACCAGAACGTGCACCACCACCGCAGCAGCGTGCACTGCAGTACGCCCTGCCCGGGGAACGTGCGGCTTGCCCACATACGCCCCACCCTTTCATCCAATGTATAATTTGACGTATTCCACATGTTTGGATTTGGCCTCGTCGCCCCTAATAGATCCTACTTATGTGGGAATCAAATTAGTAGCAGTAGGCATATTTACTGTGATTGGCGGTGCGTTATGAGAACTTATGTAACTGCTAGGCATTTCCATAAGGACGTGCGGATTTTGGATTGGCGCACCTTTGCGACATAAACATCATCTTAAAACACAGTTAAGGGCGTGTAAATGTCGGAATATTATGTTTCTCTAGTCTGTAGTGGGGTACTCTATAGTGAGTACAACCCTTTTAGGGTTTGCTATATTTATCCCAATGTTTGCTAGTGAACCTCCTCTCTTCTTCATTCCTCATTTATTCACATGCTATTACAGCATCTACGCTCCTGGCCTCTGGGCCCACCTAACTGCTTCCGCTGCTACTCTGTGTACTACACGCCCCACGGCGTGCCCCTCACGCGACCCTTAGTGGCCCCGTCGCCACCCCTCGCAGCCCCGTCGCCGCCCTTCTCGGCCCCTCGCGGCCCCTTCGCGGCACCGTTGCCGCCCCTTTCAGGCCCCTCGTGGCCCCTTCGCGGCCCGTCGCCACCCTTCCAGGCCCCTCGCGGCCCCTTCGCGGCCCCGTCGCCGCCCCTAGCGGCCCCGTCGTTGCCGCCAGCGGCCCTGTTGCCGACCCTAGCGGCCCCGTTGCCGCCCCTATCGGCCCACTCGTCGCCGCCAGCGGCCCCGTCGCCGCCCCTATCGGCCCCATCGCCGCCGCCAGCGGCCCCGTCGCCGCCAGCGGCCCCGTCGCCGCTAGCGGCCCCGTCGCCGACCCTAGCGGCCAAGTCGCCGCCTCCAGCGGCCCCGTTGCCGCCACTTGCGGCCACGTCGCCGCCCCTTTTGGCCCTTCCTCGACCCTGCCCCGGCCCCGCCCCGGCTATGCTACGTCGCCAGTCGCAGCGCACCGGGGGCACGTACACCCCCCCCCCCCCCCCCCCCCCTTTTCCCGTCGCCCATCGCGGCTCCCTCGGGGGCCGCGGGCGACCTGGGGGAGGGGGGCGAGCAACGCCCCTTCTGCCGCCTGTTTTGGCGCCCTGGGAGGCCGCGTGTCGCCCCTCTCCCCCCCCCCCCCTGTAACCTCCCTACCAGCCATCCCGCCCTGCCCTGCGTTAGGGTTTGGGGGTGGCGAGTAGGGGGTGGCGGGTGTGTGGTCTCCCATGCTCCTCCTCCTCCTCTGTCTCCCACTGCAGCAGCTGCCGCTGAGGGGGGTGGGTGTGTGGGAGTCGACAGAGTGGTGTTGGGGGGTGGGGTGTGAGTGAACCTAGGGGTGCAGTAGGGGGTGTGTGAAATGGGGGTGGGATAGTTTGGGGAGGTTGAAGGGGGTGGCCGCCGTGAAGCCCGCAGCTCCACTCGCTCGTGAGACCGTTGCGCCAGTCTCCCGTGAGCCCGTTGCGCCAGTCGCCCGTGAGCCCGTTGCTCCAGTCGCCCGTGAGTCCGTTGCTCCTGCCGCTCAGAGTTAGCTGCGGAGCCAGTTACTCCAGTAGCCCGTGTGTCAGTTGCTCCAGTTGCCAGTGTGCCAATTGCTCCAGTTGCCCGTGTGCAAGTTCCTCCAGTTGCGTCGTGTGCCAGCAGCTTCAACTGCTGCCCACTACCTCCTCTCCTCTCATAGTCCCTCCTCCACACTTGCCCTCTGCGATAGCCTCTAGCTTTGCTTACATTTGTGAACTTTAAACTGTTGCTTCTTGTACTTGTGCTCATAATGTATGGTGTCATTGTGATCCACCCTAAGCTTGTTCTGCTTTGCTTTTTGTGCTGATTACACCCCACTTTGACTATGGGGATGTGTCAGAATATTATGTTTCTCTAGTCTGCAGTGGGGTACTCTATAGTGAGTACAACCCTTTTAGGGTTTGCTATATGTATCCCAATGTTTGCTAGTGAACCTCCTCTCTTTTTCAT